GGCGGCTTCTCACAACCCCTTTGTTACCTCCCGGGGTAAAAGATCGTACGTTAACTTGGCACGTCGCGAGTGAAAACGGCGCCGGCCAAACTACGCCACGCGTCTGCGGGGCTTCTCGCTGAAGCCACCAGTCTAATTTTTTGTAAGAGCGAAGGGCCCGAGCCTTTGCAGCGCTGCACTGGGTGGGCCAGATGTCTATGTAACCTAGGCTTCGTTTCCACCTTCCAGGGCGACTCAGGTATTTAAAAGAGTGTACCTCAAAAAACGATGCTGAATGCACGTGCAAGGAGGGGTATCACTGCAGTGGCGATGGCTGCTCCCGCTGCGATCGAAGCTGCGGCGTGGGCCAGGAGAACTCCAGGAGCGGTAAGGTTCCCTTTCCCACCCAGCTTAAACCTCCTGCACTCTGCACCGGACGCACCAGTGCCTCTTGCACAGCACAAAAAACAACTAGAGTAAGGACCTTGCATGATAAAAGCTGCCACTGCTGAACAGTTTGCACAGTGCACGGAGCAAGCACAGCAGCAGACAAACCCACCAAACTGAGCCCTACTGCAGCTCAGATTGTGCACCAGTTAGTTCCCTTTGCATGATGGGTCTTTTGTCACCAGCATGTGGGAAACTGAGATGGGAACTCTGGAGTTAGGAATGGTTTGTGAGTAGCTGAGTGCTGTACAGGTCCCTAGCTAACAGGGAAAGACTTGCCTTGCATATTCAGAGCAGATTATGAAATAGTAATTCTATGAATGTGGATCACAGTCATTGTACAAGCAGGCAAAAATAATGTTTCACAAGTTGTTTTAAATGCTCATTTTGCACAAATTTACCTGTCCCTGTCTGTTGAAGGTTGCCAAACTTGCCGCTATGGAACTTTTAATGATCAGCCCAATGGCTCCTGTAAAAACTGGACAAAGTAAGTAATCTAAAAATAAATGCTACAGCTATTACACTTGACTGCATTATTTCCCCCCTTTTTTTTTGTTGCTTGTTTGTGGAGTTTTTTTCCTGTTTTGCTTGAAATGTCTTTCAGGTGCTTCGCAAATCAGGTCCTGGAGTCTGGAACTGCAGCAAAAGATGTCATTTGCAAACACGCTTCAGATAATCCCACTTTAGTCACTACTCTACCCACCACATCTGCAATTCCATTTTCTATCACTGTGCCAGGTGAGTCATTGTATAACATTGCTTACAGAGCTAAAGAATTATGACCTAGTTTGAAACATACTATAGCTGATTCACTTACCATTTAAAGCAAGAGCCCTTTCTTCGATCCATTTCCAGACTTATCCAGAAGCAGAGCTGGAGACACAGTTGTCGGCTAATTCAAGGGCAGTAGAATTTTGCTCTCTAACACTTTTTAGTTGTTTGTTGTTTGCTTCCTAGGGAAGGACCTCCAGATGGACATCATCAGAATTTCTCTTACTGTAGCTGGGCTGTTGTGCATAGTGTTTCTTCTACCTTCATGCGTATGCTTCACTATCTGGCAGAAAAAGAAACTACATGCTGTCTTCAAGAAAAGTAAGATAGATGCATTCCTCAATTAGATTATTCTTTTTGAAACGAGACAGAAATCAGGAATCCAGGTTTTTAAGTATCTTTCAAAGATAGTTACAGATAGCTTCATTTTTTGGCCTTATAAGTCAGAAACAACAACTGAGAGGAAAACAGTGTTGGAATTTTTATTGCAGAAAGCACTTAATTACCTGTGGGTGTTCTATCAACATTGCAGGTTAACTGCATGGATATCCATAGAAGTGCAGTGTCCATGGGAGGTGAAAAAGCTCAGCTGAGCCTTGCTGATGTGGTTGAGGGTCCATTCCGTTTATTACTTCTAAGTACCATCCTTAGCATGTGTGGCAATAGCACTTGCCAGTTCTGTCTGCTCAGAAACAGTATGCAAGGCCTGGAGCCAGCATCTTTGAACTTTGGCTGCAGTAGAAGAGGGGACATCAGTCAGGACGTACTGCTATACAGATGCAGAGTCAGTCTGAATCCAGCATTGCCCTCTGAGAGCTAATAAGCCCCGGGGAAGCTTGAGTTCAGCACAAAGATAAGGTGGAATTGCATCCAACATCATTTATAGTTGGGATATTTGTTTGAGTTTCTCTGTCTCACTCTCTCTGTCCTCTCCCCTTTCCTAGAGATAAGGGCTTGGTTTTCTAGTGTAATTCTGAATACAGGATACAATAGCATGACTCCAAAAATGTAACAACTCCATGTTGGTCTTCCTTTCATTCCTATGGCAAACAGAGCACTAGCAGCCCCTGTTGCATTAGGGAAAACAAAGTATGATAAATTAGTTTTATCAGATGTACATGCTGTAGAGGAATAATTTTGTTTGGAAGACTTTTTTGTGCTGACTTCTGCACTTGCGACTTGAGGAAAGGTGAAATAAGATGGCTGAATAAATACAACAGAAAGTGAATATTTGGTCTTTTTCTTTAGTGCATATCACACCTGAACAATCAATTCAGGAAGATGATGCCTGCAGCTGCCGCTTTCCTGAGGAAGAACAAGGTGAATATCGAGACCGTGGCAAATCCTCGGAATTCAGAGATCTTTTGGTGAACTAGGAATTGGACTGCACAGGTCAACCACATTTAAATTTTGTTTTGGAACACGGAACAAGAACCTGTTTTCCTAAATGGAGAGGGTGTCAGAATCTGTGAATTTCAGAGCGCTATATAGCCCCGCTGCCACTGAGGAAAAAGTGCATCTTTTCCATCTCTTAACAAAAAAAAAAAAAAATTTTAGTTTGCTGACTTTCTTCCTCTAGGACTAGGAATCATCTTTCTAAGAAGTGGTACTTGATCTACATGTAGAAAGAAGTACTGCACTTAAAAGAAGTAATAGAAGGGCAGAATGGCTTTCTGGTCTCTCTTATAAATGGTGCCTGAGCCACAATTTACATGCAGTTTGAAAGCATTTGATGTTAAAAGGGAGATCTGTAGCACATAGTAGAGCCACATGTAACACTCACAGTCTCTATTACCGTTACTAGTCATCCTCTTGAGTCTAGAGCTACAGCTCCTCCTAAAGTTTGACTCAAACCCAAAAGTCTTGGGTTTCATGTGCAAATACAGATAGACCTCATTTGAGATCTCATCAGCCCTAGAAACAGGTACCCGGCATGACCACTGCGCACCTTCTTATATGTAGGAGAGAGGAACCCATAAAAATCTAGAGCTGCAAAGTGTTTCGTAATAGCTTGCATCTGCTGTTGTATTACACTGATTGGCTTAAGAGAGGCAGTGGAAACACTGAAAAAAGCTGTGGTTGACTTGATCTTAGAAATAGATGTTAGTGTGCAGCTGGACTGCACCACCTTCAGTCCTACATCATTCAACTTTGATCTTTTAGGTGATGTAAACATATGTACATTGCAGATGTGGCATATGTAGATGTGATAGATTTCTGGTACTATTTTTGTAACTGAGGTTGGAAAGATTTTACCATCAGACACTGTATCTGTCTCTTTGATCAATTACTGTTACTTTGGTCTTAAAGAGAAAAAAGAAAATACATGTTTGAGTCACGGCATTCACAACATCATTTTTAACCTTTTACAAAACCAAATATTTTATTTCTTCAGTAAATGTTACTTAAAAAGTAAAATGAAAACCCACCAATATGTCATGTAAAGGGTGATTTTCCCCTCCTATGTGATTTCAACTTAGAGAACGCTATTCTTGTGTTTGAAGGATGACAGCCCATCTCTCCATTCAGCAGAAGATTACGACAGCAGATTATTTTCACCAAACCACACTTACGCATTTTGATAAACTTGTACACAAGTAAATATAAAACAGTATGTGAGAAAATAAATGTCATACTGAAACCTGAACTGTGAACTTAAATATATTTAAGTAAATCTTTTTATCCCTAGCCAAGTCTCTTTTCCTCTTTATTAGTACTTTCAACCATGAGAACTAAGTGACTATTACATCAAGTTCACAAACTTGAAGACATGAACAGGATGCATGAAAAGCCCCCAATCTATTTATAAATCAAAGAGTGACCTTTGCACCAGTGAACGATAACTTCAAACAGGATAAAATAGTTCTGCTTGTGATTAGTTTCTAATGCATGCATAAGATATGAGAATTAACGTACACATCCTGCAAAAACTCAAAACATCTGGTGTTTTTTCCTTGGAAAAAAAGAGGTACTAGTTGGAATTTTACATTTTGTTAGTGCATTCGGCATATATTTTGAAATGCTCCAAAAACAGTGCAAACCCCTTCTTTTCCTTTTCTGTACCTGAAGCAGAAGTAAGTCTACTTACTGAACAATGAGGTGCTCATTACAACATTTTTTCCCAGTCAGTTTGATTTTGCTGTTTTACACTGAAGTTTTGGGAGTGGCATAAAATTCCCATGAATCAAAACAAAAAAACCCCACAACCTAAATAAGTGCAAATTGATTTCTGAGACTAAGGGACACATTTACACCAAATTTGCTTTCTGGACCGTTTCAAGGAATCATCATTCACAGAAAGGAAACACATTCTGAATAAAATGTGAGGAGCAATCTTCCTTTCAATCAAAGGATTATGTGGATAATTCTACCTGTGACTTCTGTCATTTGGGAGTGCAGAGGCCTGAATTAATGATAAAACAGATTTTGTTGGCACAAGAATGTGTTGTCAAGCGTATGCAGATGTGCCTGCATTTCGCAACAACACACATCATCCGGCCACAGCGGCAGAGTAAGAGATTGTCTGTTTGTACTTCTTCCATGAAATACTTCAATTACATCTACAAAGCAGACAAGTTTGTAAGTAAGAACCAAGAAGCCCTGAAAGCAAAGACTGAACGATACATTATTTTCAAAGGTGAAATACATTGTGGTACAAATGCAAAGGGAAGACCGGGGCACTTTACACTACAGACTGCAGTGCTTGCTTGCTACTAGAATGCCTTAGCAGTAGTGCTGTATTTTACGTGGTCATCACAGAACTGAAAATAAATACAGGTGAATTAATCTGGTTTGCCGCTAAGCGCCAGAGCAGGACATTAAAGTCCATAACAAAAGCAGCACTGTAAATACTAAGATAGTTGGAGAGTTTAGCTGTTTTCAGATTTATACAATATTCAAGTTCTTCGAGTAGTCGCTTACTATAAAGAGCTCGAATTATAGCCATAGTCTCATGCACTTCCTTGAACGTAATTCATTGTTGTGTGTTGTGTAATTTGCCTTCACTGTGACACTGAATACTGTGATACGCTGAATCCTGTGTTCAGTGTTGGGCCCCTCACGACAAGAAGGACTTTGAGGTGCTCGAGTGAGTCCAGAGAAGGGCAATGGAGCTGGGGAGGGGTCTGGAGCACAAGTCTGATGGGGAGCAGCTGAGGAAACTGGGGGTGTTCAGCCTGAAGAAGAGGAGGCTGAGGGGAGCCCTCATCGCTCTCTGCAACTACCTGAAAAGGGGGGGTAGTGAGGTGGGTGTTGGTCTCTTCTGCCAAGTAACTAGTGTTAGAACAAGAGGAAATGGCCTCAAGTTGCACCAGGGGAGGTTTACATTGGATATTAGGAAAAATTTCTTCACCGAGAGAGTGGTCAAGCATTGGAACAGGCTGCCCAGGGAGGTGGTGGAGTCACCATCACTGGAAGTATTCAAAAAATGTGTGGATGTGGCACTTCAGGACATGGTTTAGGGGGCATGGTGGCATTGGGTTAACAGTTGGACTTGATGATCTTGAAGGTCCTTTCCAACCTTAGTGATTCTGTGATTCTGTGATCACAGAGAACAAATGCATTATAAGCTTGTTCCCATTCTATACCCCACATAAACAGATACCTTTATTTAAAAGTACTAAAGAACTTGCTTAAATCCTCCTTTTCATTATGCATGTAGCAGATGCAGCCGTAAAACCACTTCTGGCAGTATGCTATGGAAATGCAATAGGCAGACTCATCAACGAAGTTCATTTGGAAGTTTGCATCTGCAAAAAAAAGCCACATATTTGTAACTTCCTTTTTTCCTTTTAAAATTATTCTTTCATCTTCTGAAAAAATCCACAGCAGCTAATAAAACTTCAGTCACAGCTAGATAATGTGCAGCTCAGTGGCTACTATGCAAGTCACAAGAGCAGAAATGGTGTAGGCATCTGATCTAAGTCATTCAGGATGCCACATGCAATTTTTTGAATATTTTGTTCTCTCAAGCCTTTGTAAAAATGTCACAGAGAAAGATTTAGGGATCATCAATGACTACCTTAAAAGAAACATTGTAGTCAGAATTAAGCATCTACTAGCTTTCCTGAACAGAATCTGTAGCTGAATTTGTCTGTTTCTTAACACGGAGGATGACAGCCTTCCTGCATGCATGTTGAGCACTATAAAATCCTTCATCCAGCAGGGGTGAAGGGGAAAAAACTGCACTATGTGTCTTCGATTATTGGTAATTAAGGCAGAAGGAAGGAGTAAAGCCTGACTGTCCATAATTCAGAACCAGGGCTGTGGTAAAGAAGTATTTTTTGGTGATGACAAATAATTGATAGATCATGTGCATCTTGGCTTCATGGGGAGCTTTCATTAAACGTACAGATTCTTTAATACCTGAAGAAACTTTCCAGTTCATGTAGAAATAATGCAGATCAGTCCTTCTGACTTTGAGCTCAAAGTGTTGTCTGCTTTCTGTGAATGTCTCTCTTCTCAACAGTCTTTTTAATTTATTATGTAGCATGCAAAAAGGAACCAGCAATGCTGTGATGACTCTCGAGCAGCCCAGGTGGCTGAGGATGAGGTAACAGGCCAGATGCAAACTTTTTGCATTTCCATTTGTTTTTCTTGGAAGTCAGAAAGTGTCCCTTTAGCCAGACTTTGTGCGGAGGCCTGGATGATGTCAGAGTTCTGAAGGCATGGAAAACGGAGACAAATCTTCTTTAAAGATAAGTTTAAGCAGGGGACCCTGCTGCTTTTTTATTGCTTTCAGAACCAGCACCATTTTCTGGCACAGTTACTGGTATCGGTAGTTAAAACAGAGTTTGTGACATGTCTTGGCTTCATAATTTCTTGCACGAGTTGTGTGGCTAAAGAAAGCAAAAGGTTCATAGCAAAAGGTCTCCTGTCTCTCACCTGCCTCTCTTCTGCAGGCATGCTTGTGCGTTTCTGTGCCTAATACTTCTGGATGATAGAGACTCTGAAACTGTACAGCTCCTCTCAAACATATGAACATCCTATCATCTTTTAAAAGCAGAATATGATTTCCTATTTTCAGTCTTTCTATCAGATCCTTCAGTGGACAGAAGCATAGTCTTCTCTGGTAGTCATTCTGATACTACACTTATGATGCGAAAACCTCCACAAGAGACGGTCCACTCTGAAGAGACTCAAACAGGCAACTTGTACCACTCGCCTTACATTTTAAACAGGTGATAAAAAGTCAAGGTATGTTTCACTATTAAAATTATACATCTTATTCTATCACCAGGTGTCACCTCAGTTCTTTTCTCAGCTACCAACAAGCCTTCCCTGATACACTGCTTTCTTCAGAGTCTGTCAAAGGAGGTTCTCCATCCCACAGGTTTTGTGTTAGCTGTGCATGGGGAACAAATGGCTGAGCATCCTT